GGTATCAAAGAGCTGCCTGATAAGTGACAACAAGTCATTGCAAATAATAGTGAATATCTAATTGAATAAAATCTAACTGTACATTATTTTTTGTAGAATTTGTTTTTCCTCTCTTTATATTCCCTGTCCCTGTCAAATTTCCCAAACACTCCTTCCACATTATATGTCCAAGACATTTCAGCTTTCTTTTTCTGATTCAGAGCTTAAGTAACTTTTTTGTTTCCATTTTCCTTCAGACGTTTTTTACAGACATATTGCAGCTGCTGGACGTATAAATGTGCATTTAATGTTTAATTTAATTTTCAGAACTCTAAATGAACAACAATCCCACCAGATACACATTACTTTTGTGGAGAATTAACCTTTTGTATTGAACAGCCAAATGGAAACCATTTTTGATCACTTCTGATATAAGGAATAGTTAGTTAGGATGATACATTCATCATGACAATTGGTTCTTAAAGATGGAAATTACTTATGACTTATCTTATATATAGGTTAACAGTAAAGATGGAAATTACTTATGACTTATCTTAGGTTAACAGTAAAGATGGAAATTACTTATGACTTATCTTATATATAGGTTAACAGTAAAGATGGAAATTACTTATGACTTATCTTATATATAGGTTAACAGTAAAGATGGAAATTACTTATGACTTATCTTATATATAGGTTAACAGTAAAGATGGAAATTACTTATGACTTATCTTATATATAGGTTAACAGTAAAGATGGAAATTACTTATGACTTATCTTATAGGTTAACAAGAGAGAGAGAATATGGTACAGGTATGGCAGGTTATACTATATTGTTTCCCCTGATTCAAAGTCCATTAAGTAAAAAATAAATAAATTGGGCATAGTAAGACTTTAACCCAGGCCTCATGGTCAGAACACTAATATCAAAACATTCGGCCACCCACCCCCACACAATATATCTTGGTACTTTAATTCAATTTAATTAAAATAATTATATTGAAGTTTTCGGCTCTTGTTTTGAAACATGAGAACTCTTATGTAGCGATGTAATTATATTTTTATGCTCTACTTTTGTATCGAGCACTATTTTTTTTTAAAATAATAACAAAAATACTAAAGAACTTTGGATTATTTACCTGACGAGTTCTTTCCTATTTTCTATATATTTTTACACACACACACACATATATATATATATATATATATATATAATATGTGTGTATGCGGACGTGCGGTACTTGTCCTACTCGTGCCGTTCACATTTCCCTTGTTGCGCCTCTTATCTTCGGCAGAGCGCAACTGAAAAATATTGAGAGGTGGCCACTGAGGGGGGGGGTGATCGGTAGCAATACCAATGCCAGCACGACCAACATTTGCGGGAACTGGACAATTTTTGACCCTGGCCCTCGTGTAGGCGCTCGTGTGCCCTACAAGAAACCTACCCTGCATCACAGAGAGGGGGATACAAGCCACGTCTAAGGCAATTTTTGCCTTCAACTTAAAAAAAAAAAAATTGTAAAAAAAGGGGGGGGAGAGAAAGAGTGAGAAAATTAACTCATTTTATCATCGCAAAGCCTTTTCTAGGGATTCAAAATCACGTGCCATCGTCGAGACCTGAAAATTTATGTATTCGTTCCTTGCGTGCTTGTTTTATTTTCAACTAAAACAAGCCATCTACAATTTCCAACACACCGTACTAAAATGCTGAAACCCGAGAGAAGACTTGCTGAACTATCAAAAAAGGCTAAAAGTGCAAAACTTTGGAAGTTCAAACAAACAAGGACCAAGGTAAGTTTTCTCTTTTTTTTTTTTTTTAATGAATTTTAAAACTTTACAAGAAAACCTTTAGGTCGACCAATTTTCCGTGATGTTTGAATAATCGTAAATCTGAAACAGACTGTTTTTTTCATAAATTTTCAATAATAAAGAAAGAATTATTTGATTTGTTTTTATCTTGCAAAACTTAACTGTCTCGGTTATTTTTCTAATACTCTTTGAACTTGTGTTTCTTTTATTTAGCGACATGAAAAAAATTAAGGAACAAAAAAATGTTACGTTTTTCTTATGATGGTCGTAGCGTTTTTTTTTGTTTTTTTTTCCAAGAAAAAATTTGTCGAGAGCTCTTTAAAAAAACTAAAAAAATAAAAAAAGAGAGAGAGAGATTTACATGAAAAGAATTTCAACAAATGTTACAATCTTGCAAAATTTATGTCTACCGGAAATGAAATGAACATATGTATCATTGCACGGTAATAATACATTTCATTTTAAAATAGCAATACATAAATAGACTAGTCCCCTCAGAAAGTAAAGAAAACTACCTGTATGTCAAAAAGTCAGGGATCAGTTTGAAGTTGTATTTATATTGTAAACAGGACACCCCATCCAAAATAATAAAAATTAATGTTTTTCGATTCTGACAAATTGCCTGAGCAGAGGAAGTTCTGAATGCTAGGCAACCAAAATTAGCCATGAAAATATTTTTATCTATAAGAAATTACTAATTAATATTCATGTCGGAAAGTAAAGGATGATTTTGTTTTGACATTTTCAGTCTGTTCATAATGTAAACAAGTCTAAAATCACAAAAAATATTTTGTTATTTTATTCTTTCTAGTATTTATATTTATTTATACAATATATAAGATTTGATCTACCATAACAAGAGTACAGTTCCTTGTGAGAATTTCTTCTCACACAGTTTAACCCTTGGCAGAGACAAGAAAAGACATACAATCAACAAAGCCTACCTTAAAATTTAAAACAAATTTTATTGCATCTTTGCAAAAAAAGATTATGCCCTTTTTGCCCCTGTGAACAGGGTGGGATAGTTTCTTCAAAGAAGAGGTAGTGATTTTCTCTTCTGTAGGACTCAATTGGTCTCTACATAGTAGAAGCAGGAACTTGCTGGTCGTTGCAGGAGCATTACCATTTCGGTTGCTGAAGTTGAAACTCGGCTATTGTCGAGATCATGCAGAAAGTTCTTTGTGTTGAAAGTACAGTTTAGACGACAGTCAATAAACTGACTGAATTCTACAGCCTTGAAAGTATCGAAGAAGCTGGAACATGAAGTCATCGCAAGAGCATTACCATTTTGGTTGCTGAAGAAGAATCATTGCCTAGTTATTTTGGCTTAATTTTGGGCGCTAAAGGCCCTGCAAAGAGATTCAAATATGAATCCTGACATTTCCAAGATTTGCAGCAACTGACAAAAAAGGGCACGGGCCGTTGAAAAATGCCCGCGAAAAGCAAAGTCAAATTCAACCAATGAGATTGGTCGGTGCAAAATACTGTGTGGTATAAATTAGCCAATAGGAGCTTAAATTGCATAATTTCTCACATCCTTTATTCAGAGCTTCAAATGAAAAAAAAAAAAATCATAATTATTATTTTCAAAATATTTTGCCAATTCTTAATTTAGCTTTATATTTTCTCCACAGATCAACTCAAAGCGCTTCTGCTGAAACAGAATGGTCAAAGCTCTAAGGTTCAACCTGAGCCTTCATCAAGTTCTTCCCATCAGCTTTCAGAAAGTCAACACCCTCATAAAATTCAAAATAAAGTTAAGATTTCTACATTGAAGTCTCGTGGATGGGTCGGGTCAGTGAAAATGATATCTTTGTTGATTCAATGTTTTGCACTATTTGCAGAAAGGTACAGGCTAAATGAAGTCCAAAGCTGCTTTACCAAAGGTGCTGATGCTTTTATTGAAGGAACTTCCAATGTGAAAAATGACACAGCAATGACACAAAGAAACAAAAGACAAATTTTGCAAATTGTAAAAAAATTTGCTGCAGTGCCCTCATTTTTAAGGGGTCCACATGGGCAATTTTTGCCTGCCCCTATCTTAGGCTAAACATAAATTTTGCCATAAAAAGGTATTGTTGGTATTTTTTTTTTTCTGAAAAAGTATTTTGTACTTTCCTAGTGCTTTGATTCTTATTTGGAAGGGGGTTCATTATTTGTCTATAGCTGGGTCCCTAACAGGTGCTACCACCTCAAGTTAGAGTGGACCTTGGAACAATAGTAATTAAGAGGTGGCTCCATGTTTCTCAAAAGCTCCAATCTCTAGATCAGATACCTTGCTGCCAGATGTAGTTTATCATCATACACAGGATTAAATATTTAAGATATATTATGTATCAAGAGAAATGCAATGCTTATCTTCACATAAATTCAGTGTGGGCAGCCAAAGGCAAGATAGCATGACAATCGGAAACTCTTCTACCAGGCATCGCCAGTGCAAGAGAGATAACTCTTATACACTGTATAAGAGTTAAAAAGAGACTACAAACAAAATACAAATGTGTATGTCTTCTCTCTAAATTGTAACTGATTCTTATATCACCACCAAAGTTAAGCAACACAAAGTCTGGTCAGTGTGTCTTCTCTCTTCAACTATGGATTAATTAATACAATTTCTATCAGTAAATCATTATCTCCAAAAAAAAAAAAAAAAAAAATTCTTACCATCTGAAAATATGTTCTGGCTTTAAATAACCTGCAAACAGTTGATAAGCCATAAAAAAAACAAATCCATCATCAATCTAAATTGTAAGTACACTGTGGAAGTCTAAGTTTTGAGAACTTATTCGAAGTACACCAATGATTAGAAATCCTTAAACTCATAAAAGTGTCGAAGGTGGCCAACTTGTTTAAGATAAAGAAAAAAGATGATGCTGTGATTTTGACTATAATCAAATCTAAGAATTATTCAATGAACGCATACTATTATTGATTGCTTGACTGATTCTATTTTCTATAGCTTATCAAACTTTTGCAGGTTATTTAAAGCCAGAAAATATTTTTAGATTGTAAGAACTTTTTTTTTGTTGAGATAATGATTGTTTAATACAAATCTTACTAATTAACCCATAGATGGAGAGAGAAGAGGGATTCATACCTTTCCCAAGAGTATTTACATTTAAGTGAATATAACAAACCCAATTGGAATTGGAACTCAGCTCTCTGATTAACAAATCCAAGTTATTATTCACGACACCACACTCACATCCAAGCGTACAACACCTGGTATTCCCAAGTAGTCACCTGTCCAGATACTGACCATACTCAATGTTGCTTAACTATGGTGATCATACGGGAACCAGTGTTTCAACCTGATGTGGTTTGTAAGCCTATACCAAGTATATTTGCTATAATAATAATAGGAATAAAAGAAAAATGGCAAATAAAGTAAGAATCATTTCACATAAAAGTTTAACAGATGACTTGCTCCTTTTCTTCCTGGAGCAGTCAAGTCTTGTGACCATGACGTATAATTTGGAATGAGAATGTCAAAGTTCAAAATAAAGAAGGGGTGTGTGCATTTGTATGTCTTTTAAATTTTATGCCACCCACTCAAAAGCCAGATGTCATGCACCAATAATAACTTCATAAAATTCTTTTCTTTTATTTCTAATTCAGAAAAGTAGTTTTTCAGGATGTGAAGAACACAAAGGTGTAAACTAGCAAATTATGCTCTGCATGCCCAAATAACTTCAATCAATGTCTTCCACTACCACCCCACTTATATTAATCCATTAACTTCAGTAGAAAATTTTATAAATGAAATGACAGAAATTTCTATAATCCGCAGTTAATGGCTAAATACAAATGCAAACTGTTACAAACAAAAACATCTTGACTTTCATTGATCAAAAGAATATTAATTTCATTAGGCTAATATTGGAAACTAAATTTCTGAATCCAAGTTTTGTTTAGCTAATTAAACCAGCCTTTGTGTTAATAATAGGTTAACATGAAATCACAAATCATTGTGACCGAGGGTTTAAACATACTAGCCTTGTTCAGACTGTTGATCATACCAGATAATGCACTCTCTCCCAGAAACTTCAGCTAAGGTCTGCTCAGCATAGTTGCAGTATAAACCACAGGTAGGGGTCTGTGGGTGTTAAACAAATACAAATGAACCTGAGCAGGCGTCTGCAACAGGGATTGGTTAGCCATCTGAGGATACAGGCATACTTGGATGCAAGCAGTCAGCCATTATTTTATTAACACAATAATCCATGGCACAATCTATGCTTCATATCTCATTAGGAATACAATTTATAAATGGAGAGAAAATTTTGATAATTGCTCCAAACATTATCTCTTTGTGGCATCTTTCCATGACATGACTGATCATGGCTCTCCACAGATTCTTTTTCTAAACATCATCATGAGTGCTCCCGGAAAGTGTTATGAAATCACTTCTTGCTGTCTTCCTCCCAATATCACACTACAAATTTTGATAAATAGATAAATATAAATAAGAGATAAATATGGATTATAGATTTACAAAATTTTGACAGATAAATTTTATATTCACAGTCAAATAATTACACTGTACATTTTGACAAATCATAAAGATGCATACTGAGATATCTTCCTAACCAATAAAATGCACTACTTCTGCCTTATCCACCATATTTTTGTTTATTCTTGTCTTGATGTCAAAATGTTACAACCACTTGACTTTATCCCTTTTGCACATAACACCATTCTTCATTTGTGAACTTTTTGCCTGATTACTGTTTTGTTTTTTTTTGCACACACACAGTGTGTATATATATATATATATATATATATATATATATATATATATATATATATATATATATCAAACACTAATATTCCATGGTTATAATTTATTACATTGAATTGTAATCACAATTCAATTCATCAGAATTACAAATACAAAAAGAAATTAGATCTATTTCTTTTTTGAACTTGTCGATCTGATGAATTGGATCGTGATTACAATGCTAATGTAATAAATTATAACCATGGAATATTAGTGTTTGAGCCTTTTATATTATATTTGTACTCTATCCTGGACATTGAATTCTGCCTGGATCTATCCTCTTGGAAATATATATATATATATATATATATATATATATATATATATACACACACATATATATATATATATATATTGACCACTAATATTATATATATACACACACACACACACACACATATATATATATTGACCACTAATATTATATATATATATATATATATATACACACACATATATATATATTGACCACTAATATTATATATATATATATATATGGAAAAGGTTATAGCTGTTCCAATGAGAGAAAAATATATATTTTTAAAAAACGAGAGAAACTGCAAACATTCTTGGTTATAATGTGGATTTGTTTTAGCGTATATATTTTATTTTGAAGAATAATATATATATATACACTAAAACAAATCCACATTATAACCAAAATATTTGTAGTTTCTCTCTTTTTTTAATATATAAAATACAAATATTTCTCATTTAGCTGATTGATATTGCTTTTCAGCATCTAGATTCTAGAGTTTTATAAACAGGCACTCTAGCCATCGCTCCGTCCACTCCTCAGTAGATATCAGCAATGGACTGTTTATTGTCTTGTTAGTATCATTTTGCCCTGCTCTTTTCCTTCTTTTGTTATTGTTTATTTGAAACTTTGTCATTTCCGTTTGTTGGGCATTTTTGCCAATAAAACTTCACCATGGCCAATCACTATACAACCTAAAGTAGAGTTAATTTTTCTAGTTTTTAATCTTCATAATTTCATCTGCTAATTTTTCATTATCCTTCTTAGAGAAATATTCTCCCTAATATACACTTTACAGGTCAAGATTTGTACTGACAACAGTAAAACTGGCTGACATCTTATAATGAACCATCAGTTATTTAAAAAAATAGAAGGAAAAAAAAAATCATTATCAACTTATTTCATTCTAATAGGTTATAATAATTTTTGTTGTTAAAAAAAGAGATTAAAGAGAAATCATCATTACTGGAACTTGTCAGATATAGGATTAAGTGACAACTTACAAATTATATGAGAATTTGAATTTCTTCAGAAGCTCCAATTAATCTGTTCATGAATAATCTCTAATACTTGGACTTTGCACTCAAAAAAATAAAAATAAAAATAAAAAACATTCTTTATTGATTGGAACCAAAACTGGAATTAAACAAGAGCAGGTTATAACAAGTACAAAAAACAAATTAAAAAAAAACAAAAACGGTCTGTAAGTATTTTCAAGTTTATGCCAATAACTGAAGCTGCTACTATTGCCATTAAAACAAAAGCAGAAAGTTAATGCAATGATCAAAAAATAAAAATAAAAATAACAGTTGAGAGTAAATAAAGACTTATGACAAAACTTGACTGCAAGAGGCCAGATCATCAATAGCAAACTTATCCTTGATATATCTCTTCAATACTGATGAAAAAAAAATTCAGTAAATTTATTTGCATTAAATCATTGTCCAGAAAAATTGTTCTTGCAATACTAGGTAAGCATATGGCTTTGCCACTTAAAACAATGCAAAACAAACAAATAATGTATCCTTGCTGATATAAGCAAGTGATTCCAAAAGAGAAAAAAAGGATTTTCAGGTCCTTAAGTAAAAAAATAAAATAGCAAAAGCATTATTTTTTTTTTTTTTCAGATTCATTATCAGAATTCTTGAAGTGTTTGGTTGTCAAGACAAAATACTCTCTTGGGAAAGAGAATGTTACCAACTAGCATTCTTCTTACAGAGCAATTTCTAAAGTAGGACCAGACCCCAGAACGGGATTTTTAACTCCCTCGGAACTTGAAACTATTTGAATATGCCCATAAGCTTTCTCTCATTTTTTTTTCATTTTTTTTCTTAAACCACACCCAAAAGAAGAGTAATATCCTTTCAGCATAAAATTTTGACAACCTTCTCCCTCACCACTTTCCATAAATATTTAGAACTAATTTTAACATCATTAACAGCCCATTATTAAATTTTAACTATTATTTCTAAATTTCCTCTTACTTTTCAATGTCATGACTCAGAGTGTCTTTCATTGATTATTAAATCATTCAATGATCATCTGAGAGTTGTGATAAAAAAAAACAACTGAAATTTACTTAATATGATTTCAAATACCAGTTAGGTTTATTAATTATTATAATTATTACCATCAGGTTTTGAAATCAAAATCTGATGGTAGCCTGCCTGCCTGCTCTAGTTGATTCCAATACAGAGCGAGTAAGCAACCAGGAAGACTTGAAAATGGCAATAGAAGGAACACATACACAGAATTAAGAAAAGACATATGAAATTCCTTGGACACATAATGAAAAAAAAGGGCTTAGAAAACTTAACCATCACAGGATATACTGAGAGCTAGGGGAAGACAGCAAGATGAGCTTATGTTTATGGTGGCAAAATGGGAGCCTTAAAAAAAGCAAGAAAAACTGCTATGGGCAACAATGTATAGGATATTGTGGAGAGCCATGATTGCCTATGTCCTGAAAGCATATGGAAAGAAAGAAATAAGCTAAACTGTTACTTCAGAGAAGTGGGTTTGGTCCTCATAAAATGCTCTATATTTGTAACCTTGTGATAAAAAAAAAAAGAGCTAAGCTTAATGAATAAAACAAATCAAAACTTAATATTATTTAGTGGGGGGATGTGCATGTAGTCTAACAGCTATCAGTATAGAATAGTAAATCGGAGAGCCGAGTTCAAATTCTAGCCCAGTCTGTTGCATTCACTTTCACACTAATAGCCTTAGCATGAATCTGTCTCTTCTGCATCACTCCCATCTATGGGTTAAATTACAGGTTATACTGCACTATCTAACCTTGAGTGGCAACTAATCTAAGAGAAGGAAAATTCTAAATTCCAAACCATGGAAAAGGCAACTGGAAACCACTCCACCAGCTTTCCAAAGAATATAGTAATTCATAGATAATAAAGAAAAATCTGTGGACAGTTATGATTGCCTATATCCTGAAGTGGCATGGCATTATATCTTTAAATCATCTCAGAGTACCCTTTTTATCTTCTATCAGCATGGCTGATGCTAACCTCTAGGAGAGAGTAACTCATTGTACCTTCTCGGACTAACATTTTCAGCTGACATGAAATGAAATGTGTGTATTGAATCAATTGCTAAGTCAGCAGATAAGGAGTTGGTTCAGTATATCATGTTAGACAATTATTCTTGTCAGAATCTATCATATATATATATATATTGGCAGCATATTTTTATTCAAAAAGGTTTAGTTAAATAATTTAGACATATCATGTCAATTATTTTTCACCGTGATCCTTATAAGTTCATGG